GAAACTTATCTTTGAGGTACTGTCTTGGTGTCTTAACAACTATTGATTCCTCACAGATCGGCTGTAATGGCCATGTTTATAGCATTTATAACAACCTCCTTTCTAATATCCTTTGGGAGGAGTTCTTATTTATTATAAACTTTATAATTCTTGGCACTATGTTATTTCAAGTTATATTTGAAACGCTTATTATCTTGTGGTTTATTCCCTCTGTTCTGTGTCATTAGTTCTCTAACTTGTTCCTTTTAATTCTTCAAACTGTCGCCAGTGTTTATCTATGACTTTCATGAAATCTTATTCCATTGCCGACTGCAAAACTTTCTTTAAGGATGTACACCATATTTGCTTCAGCCTAATTCTCATAACCTCATCTGTTATGGTGCTTATAAATTGGCCACGTGCAAACAAATAAACCATTTCACGGAGATCATTCAGGTAAGATAATTGAAAGCCTTTCCAAATCTTCTGAAAATCTGGCTAAAGTCTCTTTTCCCTCTGTATTCTATTCCAAAACATTGCTCTGTATACTTTTGTATGTGTGTGTGTGACACTCAGAACCTGTTGGATAAGGCAGCTACAAATGCTTGATATTTGTTATGACTCTCAGCTGGAAGATTACTTAATATTATCAAAGCTGGTCCTGGGTGGCTTGTTATTCTCTATTCCACCTGTTAACTGTGGAAATTATTTCAAACTGTGCTTAGTGTGATTTTTATGGTACCTTTCCATTACAATCCATTTGTTTCTCAATTGGCTGATGATGAACTGGCCAGCTAAATGTTGGAGCTTGATTTGGTAGTGTCATGGCTGAAGTAATCCAGGAAGCTCCTTTGGTAATAAATGACACAGTAGTAATGGTAATAGGTGTAGACCAAATAAGTTCTACTATTCCATGTCTGGTTGTGATTAGGGTTTTAGGTTGGAACTTCTGAGCTGATGCAGAGAGAGCTGTGAATGGTTTAATCTTCCACCACTGTTCTGTTCTACCTCAATGATGCTCTTTTTTTATGTTAATGTCTTTCTTTACATCACTTTTGAATTCATTAATTCTGTCATTACAGCCTTGCTCTACTTCTTCAATTTTGTTATTACAGTCTTTCCATACTTCTTTCATCTTATTGTTATAATATTTCTGTACATCTTTGATAGTTTCATCAATCTTGTCTTCAATCATATTTATTTTGGATTTTAATTCTTCCTTAAATAGCACGTATTTTTCTTTTAAATCCTCTCTTAAATTTCTGTTTCTTACCTCTTGGCTTTCTTTTAACTTCCTGTCACATTCTTCTTAGTCTTTTAGGTCTTCTTTTAATTTTCTTCTTGGTCCTTATTTAAGTTTCTGGAAATTTTTACTTTTTTTGTCTGGTTCTTTTTAGTCTTCTTTAAATTTTCTGTCTTATTCTTCCTGATCTTGTCTTAGTAATTTCATCATCTCAACTATTGCCTCACTTTCCTCAGTCTTGTGATTGCCATCTTCAACTGTTTTAAAGTTCTACTTTATTTTCACCGAAATAACATCCCATCCCTGACAGCAGTGTTGTAATGTTGTTCTTTCGTGAGCGGGTTATTTTAAAATCATGTGGTGAAAATAATCCAAAGTACTGTCCACATAAATTACTTTTTTCCTCCTATAACGTTTTTACGATCTTGAACATTTGTACATAGCCTTAAATTACTATAGGCCTATGTTAAAAATGACGTTAAATAACATAAAACAAATAAACTTACTTGTGAAAAGTAATTTGTTAAGCATGATAGCAAAAAAAAAAAAAGATCCAAATAATCCAGTTACTCCACGAAAACGCACTGGCTTATCTACCTATCCACCTTAAAATAAATCTATTTCCTGGACTATCTTTTAACTGGCTCTCCTCTTGAAACAATAGACACTTCACAACTATCTCGTATTCAATAACGTAGTTTCGAATGTACGGGAAAACTTTACGTAATATCCTTAAAACTTTCTAGTTGTTCTTGGCCTATCTTATTAAACTTTTTGATCTGAACGTTATCGTTAACAACTGCATCTTCCTCTAGCTAAGGTTGAGATTACTACATTAAAAATATAGATTACAGCAATACTAAAAAAAAGTTGATACTTGCTGCGCTCTTTAAAAAAATATTAGGATTCAAAATTAGGCTTATAGATGAAACACACGCCAAGCGAAAAAAACACTAACTGAAAGTGAAACAAAGCGTCACATTAACGTGGGTGTCTTGGATTTCTGAAGATGAAGCCATTGAAAGTTGTTAGCTACACATATCTTGGCTTGTTTGAATGTAATTCTGGTTGTCATGACAAAGAAATCATATGCTGTTACTTTAAATTTTTACCATATTTGTGAAGAAAAAAAAAACCTGAAGAGAAAGATTGGTAGTCATATTATATCAGCGTCCTGTTAGAGCGGCTTCTACCGCATAGCCTCATGTAATTGGTAGCATGGCCATATTTATGTCATGTGACTGATCATATATCATACCACTTCATCTACAGACACCACCAGATCGTTATGGATGTTATTACATTTACGGGTGATGTTGTTACATTTTATAGACTCCACATACAATGCTAAGTAAACACTTTCAAGCCTAAAACCTTCAGTAATACAGAGAAGAAATGAGGTGGAACTAAGTATTTAACTAACGCTAGAACTTTTTACCAGAAAAAAATATAATTAAAAATAAAAGTTAAATAAATATCAGAAGCTTTATTTGTCAATGTACTGCCCAGAATTAATTGTATTCTAATTTACATAAAAACATGAATTTTGAGTTGATCTTTGAGGTATACAAGTTACAGTTGAAATTTAAAAAAACAAAACGAGATGTAATAAGTTTGAAAGCAAAATGTATGTGCCTTAGTGGTCTCTGCATAAAAAAAATTGGACAAGTAAATAAGCAAAAATGTGAAGCAGAGGCGTCGCTAGGTATTTGAAAGATTCGGAGCTCGGGCTCATTTTCGGTGTTTCTGTATGATATCGATCATGGTTTTCTATTCTGGTTTTCCATGACGCTAATTAGGGATGCGGAGAACTATCAAATAGAATCGGGCCACGGGACCCATGTGCCAGCGCCTGCCTAGCGACGCCTCTGATGTGAAGTTGGCTACTAGCAGAGACGCAAAAAAACACTTGCGGTCAAATTAGGATCTGTATTGCAATATTATACTTCTTTAAATACAGAATTTCTGATATAATACTAATCGTAGACATTGAAATATATAAGTCCGCTTATCTCAAGCCTACATTACGTAAGCCTTTGTTAAGTACGACCTATATTCAATAACTATAGAAATTAACAAATTAGTTGTGTACATATTTTGCTTTAGTTTAGTTAGGGCTAAACTTTACCGTCCTTAATACTATCGATAAATAAACTTATAATGTTATTTTACGACCTAACTTTGGATCTTTTCAAAAACGTTGATAAGTTTTTACTAAGTTGTTGCACAAAATGTCTACAAAAGTATTGTTACGTATCTGCTCGTTTGTTAATTTCAGGTAAAAATTATTTCCGAGTGACTTCAGCGATACAAGTTCCTTCTTGATTTATTCTTTCTCGTTACAAACTTTGTAATACACTTAATTTCCACAGTCACTTTAAACTTAACAACCTTTATAACACACGCTA